CTCACTCTGATGAGCTGCTCTCTCACTCTGACGGAGCTGCACTCTCACACTGACGGAGCTGCACTCTCACTCTGACGGAGCTGCTCTCTCACTCTGATGGAGCTGCACTCTCACACTGATGGAGCTGCTCTCTCACACTGATGGAGCTGCTCTCTCACGCTGATGGAGCTGCTCTCTCACGCTGACGGAGCTGCACTCTCACTCTGATGGAGCTGCACTCTGATGGAGCTGCTCTCTCACTCTGACGGAGCTGCACTCTGATGAGCTGCTCTCTCACTCTGATGGAGCTGCACTCTGACGGAGCTGCTCTCTCACTCTGACGGAGCTGCACTCTCACTCTGATGGAGCTGCTCTCTCACACTGATGGAGCTGCTCTCTCACACTGACGGAGCTGCTCTCTCACGCTGACGGAGCTGCACTCTCACTCTGATGGAGCTGCACTCTCACACTGACGGAGCTGCACTCTCACTCTGACGGAGCTGCTCTCTCACACTGATGGAGCTGCACTCTCACACTGATGGAGCTGCTCTCTCACTCTGACGGAGCTGCACTCTCACACTGACGGAGCTGCACTCTCACTCTGATGGAGCTGCATCTCTCACACTGATGGAGCTGCACTCTCACTCTGACGGAGCTGCTCTCTCACTCTGATGGAGCTCCACTCTCACACTTGATGGAGCTGCTCTCACACTGATGAGGAGCTGCTCTCTCACACTTGGAGCTGCACTCTCACTCTGACGGAGCTGCACTCGATGGAGCTGCACTTCTCACTCTGATGGAGCTGCACTCTCACACTGATGAGCTGCTCTCTCACACTGATGGAGCTGCACTCTCACTCTGATGGGAGCTGCTCTCTCATGCTGATGGAGCTGCACTCTCACTCTGATGGAGCTGCACTCTCACTGAGCTGCACTGTGATGGAGCTGCACTCTCACTCTGATGGAGCTGCACTCTCACTCTGATGGAGCTGCTCTCTCACACTGATGGAGCTGCTCTCTCACTCTGACGGAGCTGCACTCTCACTCTGATGGAGCTGCACTCTCACACTGATGGAGCTGCACTCTCACTCTGACGGAGCTGCACTCTCACTCTGACGGAGCTGCACTCTCACACTGATGGAGCTGCACTCTCACGCTGATGGAGCTGCACTTTCACACTGACGGAGCTGCACTCTCACACTGATGGAGCTGCACTCTCACTCTGATGGAGCTGCACTTTCACACTGATGGAGCTGCACTCTCACTCTGATGGAGCTGCTCTCTCACTCTGAGCTGCACTTTCACGCTGATGGAGCTGCACTCCCACTCTGATGGAGCTGCACTCTCACTCTGATGGAGCTGCACTTCACACTGATGGAGCTGCACTCTCACACTGATGGAGCTGCACTCTCACACTGATGGAGCTGCACTCTCACACTGATGGAGCTGCTCTCACTCTGATGGAGCTGCACTTTCACACTGATGGAGCTGCACTCTCACACTGATGGAGCTGCACTCTCACTCTGATGGAGCTGCACTCTCACTCTGACGGAGCTGCACTCTCACACTGATGGAGCTGCACTCTCACACTGATGGAGCTGCACTCTCACACTGATGGAGCTGCACTCTCACACTGATGGAGCTGCTCTCTCACACTGATGGAGCTGCACTCTCACTCTGACGGAGCTGCCCTCTGATGGAGCTGCACTCTCACTCTGACGGAGCTGCACTCTCACTCTGATGGAGCTGCTCTCTCACACTGATGAAGCTGCTCTCTCACGCTGATGGAGCTGCACTCTGATGGAGCTGCACTCTCACTCTGATGGAGCTGCACTCTGATGGAGCTGCACTCTGATGGAGCTGCTCTCTCACTCTGACGGAGCTGCACTCTCACACTGACGGAGCTGCACTCTCACACTGATGGAGCTGCACTCTCACTCTGATGGAGCTGCACTCTCACACTGATGGAGCTGCACTCTCACTCTGATGGAGCTGCACTCTCACTCTGGCGGAGCTGCTCTCTCACTCTGACGGAGCTGCTCTCTCACTCTGATGGAGTTGCACTCTCACACTGACGTGTGTGTCACCCCCTTCTGGCCATTAGAGTTGATGCAGTTTTAAGTCGCTCCTGAATTTAATTCACCTTGAAACCATCTTTTTATTCAAACCTTCCACAGTCCTCCAGCACCTAATGCTAGCTCAGCATTCCTTTCAGTCTAGTAAATACAAACAGTAAAAAAAAGTCCTTACAGTTTGGAGTGAGATGGTTGGATAGTCTTTCTGTGGAGATCTCAAGAACTCCTTTGGTATTAAACTGTTCTGTAAATGATCACTGACGAAATCAGACCAAATGCTGATTTCATTCCTGATTTTATTCCCTTCACTTCCTCATGAATGCTAACTTTATTCATACCCTGGAGACTCGTCGGTGGTTAAAATGAACACGCTGAAGGATTTGGAAGAAAAAAAACATGAAGCCAGAAAACAGATCGAAGTCTTTCCAAACTATTGTTCCGTTTTGGAGTCTGTGCCGGAGCTCATCATGAAACAGAAAAAGACGATTATGTAGATATCAGTTAGGCTGGACTGTGATGAGTCGGCTAAATCTAAAAACACACACACACTCACAGAGATCCACACACACGACAGAGTGAAGCTGCTGGCAGCTGCAGAAACACCAGTCACCATCAGAGGAGAAAGTTTGTGTAAATCAGCTTAAACAGACTTTGGCTTCATGCATCATTAATGTGAGGATAAAGAGCGCTGTGGAGCGACGGCCTGCATCATGGCTTCATATATTTATCATCCCATAGTCTGAGTCTTGGGATGTTGATGAGTGATCATGCATCCTTCCAACTCAGTTTTCCCTTGATAACACTTGTTCTCTCGTGATAACGGGTTCATTTGAACTGTTTTGTTGAAATCTCGAAAATGAACTCTTATCATGGGAAACCAACGTTTTCTTGAGGTGAATGAGTGAAAACAGCAGAAGCTGACGCGGTATTCAGAAAAAAGAGTGAAAGGAAATGTCTGGCTTTATGTCCGCTTCTGGGAGTTTCTGTTTTTTCTAAACTAAATATTCTGCTATATTCTTTCAGACTGGACTAAAGAGTTGAAGAAATGCAGATGGCCAGGGCTTGGCTCAGTGGGTGCAATGTATTCTGGTCCATGTAGTCCCTGCAGTGGAGGCTGCTGCAGCAGAAGAACTCTGCAGGTTAAGAAAACACACACTGAGAAACTGTTCCACACAATGTTTACTCCACTTCTTCTGTCAGATTTAAAAAGTGCAACCCAAGCTGAAACCTGGCAGCAAGCGTCTTACAGACTCTGCAGCTGAGAGTCAGAACTGGCTGAATGGATTATGGTAATGTGTCAGAGGCCAGGTGCATGATGGGAATGGAGATGAGTGCACCGGAGCTGGTTGGTTAGAAAATGAGGCAGATTATGGAAATATGATGGTCTGGATTTCAGGTTTCCTTCAAAGCTCAAAGACTTAGAGAGTCTTATCTCCAACAGATTAACTGTGTCTGTGTGTGTGTCTGTGTGTCCTCCTGTCTGTCTGTCTGTCTGTCCTCCTGTCTGTCTCTCTCTTGATGAAGAGACTCCTCCATCTTTGTTTTCGGGGTAATTAAATGTCTTTCTCTTTATTTTTCTGTTTCAGAGAAAACGGTCCAATCAGCATCTCTGTGTTTTCCTAAATGAGGTTTCTATTGGTTTATCTGTGATGTTGTATCTGTCACTCATCCCTCTCTGCTTCATTAACTCTCTGTTTCTCATCTTCTTCACTGTGTCTCTTTAAATGAGCTGTCAATCATCCCCCCGGCCCCCCCGAGCCACAGGTACTCCATTATAACCTGGACGTAGAACACGAGGAGGATGAGACGGCCCTCAGGTCTGTCGCTTCACTTTAACACCAACATGAGACTGAAGAACAACAACGTGCCCCTAAAGGACCCCCTTCTCATGGAACCTTATCTCCTTAAAGACTCTCCTTACGGTAGCTCTGAAGCATATAGAGACCTTACATTCCTCAAGGACCCAATAACATCCTCAGACATGACTTGAAACTTACTCAAGGTTCACGACTATCTCCTCAAGGATGTTATGAAAACTGCAGCCTCCGCAGAAAACCCCAAAACGTCAAGGACTTCAATAAGTCCAAACAATCTTGTTTTTAGGACCCCAGAATCCTGAGAGGGAAACTGAGTCTCCTGAAGGACCTTTGCATGTTTTTTAATGTTTGCTTCAACCTTTCCAAGGAATCCTTTTTCCTCCAGGACTTGTAGCTTGTAGCTGCAGCCAGCAGATGGCGCCAAATCCCCATAAATCAGCCTGCTTCTTTTATCAGAGTGAGACCTCCGACTAGGAGAAGATCTGTGTCTGTAGACGTGACCTCTGACCTTCTGTCTGACAGTAACAAAGCTGAAAATGTTTTTTAATTCATTAATGTGACATTGATGCAGAGTTTGAAGCATTGAGAAGGTTTTGAAAGTCCTTGAAGATTTGGTGTCTCCTTGAAGAGACGGTCTGATGAGGATCAACGAAAACCCCTGACCCTGTTCACATGAAGGATGATAGACTTCTGGATTCTTGTCTGTTCATGCAGAGACTCTGTGATATTTATGATAACGTCATCGGGACCCTCCTCCTCTACAGAACACCTTCAAATGAAACTTCACCTCCACACAGACTACTGTCACAGTGTCTTTTCATGTTGCCACATGGGGGCGCCAAAGCTGAGTTTATTGAACCTCCATGCAGTTTGTTAATGAGTCTGATATTTCATCTGATATAAATTTAATCCCAAACAGCTCCTCAAAGATCCTCTGAATTAAATTTACAGAGAGCTTTTCTGTCCTGAATGAATCATCGCTCTGTTTCATTCATAGAGCTGTTGAATCCACACACACACACACACACACACACACACACACACACACACACACACACACACACACACACACACACACGCGCGCGCAGGCTTCTGTGTAAGCTCCGCCCCTCCAGGAGCGATGAGGGGAGACCCGGTGGTGAAGAAGTAACGCTCATTCAAAGAAGCGACAGAAACAGACTGTAGTAAAGTCTCTCTCTGTGTCTCTGTCTCTCTCTCTCTCTCTCTGTCTCTCTCTCTCTCTCTCTCTCTCTCTCTCTATGTCTGCTGGTTTTCGGGAACCTCGACGACACTCGGACCGGTTAACCGACACTCCGCGGACAGGTAAGGCTCGTGACGGTGTTCTCTTGACCTACCTGATGATGAAACATGAAACTGTTCGTGTTTAAAGTCCTGCTGGCCTGACGTCATGACGTGTTCGACTTCAACATGATCAACAGCTGAATTATTATTATGATGATTATTCCCTCATGTGGTTTAAAATCTTATAAAACAAAGACTTTAAAAACGGAATAATGGACCCTCCCCTCTGGGATCAAAGAAGTATGTTCCTGTTCTTCACTAATGGACTCCTCCTCTGACCTCATGTTTACAGAGTTAAAGTTTGAACTTTAAAGCTGCTGTTAGGACTTTGGATACGTTGAAGACTGATCTGTGTCTTTAGGACCTGAGAAAGTAAAGTCTCAAGTTGGGGGGGGGGCACACTTGGTATGTGCCTCA